ATGGATGTGTGGATGTATGGATGTGTGGATGTGTGGATGTATGGATGTGTGGATGTATGGATGTATGCATGCATGGATGTGTGGATGTGTGGATGTATGGATGTGTGGATGTATGGATGTGTGGATGTGTGGATGTGTGGATGTATGGATGTATGGATGTATGGATGTATGGATGTGTGGATGTATGGATGTGTGGATGTATGGATGTGTGGATGTGTGGATGTATGGATGTGTGGATGTATGGATGTGTGGATGTATGGATGTATGGATGTATGGAAGTGTGGATGTGTGGATGTATGGATGTATGGATGTATGGATGTGTGGATGTGTGGATGTATGGATGTGTGGATGTATGGATGTGTGGATGTGTGGATGTATGGATGTGTGGATGTATGGATGTGTGGATGTATGGATGTATGCATGCATGGATGTGTGGATGTGTGGATGTATGGATGTGTGGATGTATGGATGTATGGATGTGTGAATGTGTGGATGTGTGGATGTATGGATGTATGGATGTATGGATGTATGGATGTATGGATGTGTGGATGTATGGATGTATGGATGTATGGATGTGTGGATGTATGGATGTTTGGATGTATGAATGTGTGGATGTAAGGATGTATGGATGTATGGATGTATGGATGTATGGATGTGTGGATGTATGGATGTGTGGACGTGTGGATGTATGGATGTGTGGATGTATGGATGTGTGGATGTATGGATGTATGGATGTATGGATGTGTGGATGTGTGGATGTATGGATGTGTGGATGTATGGATGTGTGGATGTGTGGATGTATGGATGTGTGGATGTATGGATGTATGCATGCATGGATGTGTGGATGTGTGGATGTATGGATGTGTGGATGTATGGATGTATGGATGTGTGGATGTGTGGATGTGTGGATGTATGGATGTATGGATGTATGGATGTAGGATGTGTGGATGTATGGATGTATGGATGTATGGATGTGTGGATGTATGGATGTGTGGATGTATGGATGTGTGGATGTATGGATGTATGGATGTATGGATGTGTGGATGTGTGGATGTATGGATGTGTGGATGTATGGATGTGTGGATGTATGGATGTATGGATGTATGGATGTGTGGATGTGTGGATGTATGGATGTATGGATGTGGATGTATGGATGTGTGGATGTGTGGATGTATGGATGTGTGGATGTATGGATGTATGCATGCATGGATGTGTGGATGTGTGGATGTATGGATGTGTGGATGTAAGGATGTATGGATGTGTGGATGTGTGGATGTGTGGATGTATGGATGTATGGATGTATGGATGTATGGATGTATGGATGTATGGATGTGTGGATGTATGGATGTATGGATGTGTGGATGTATGGATGTGTGGATGTATGAATGTATGGATGTAAGGATGTATGGATGTATGGATGTATGGATGTATGGATGTATGGATGTTTGGATGTGTGTATGTGTGGATGTGTGGATGTGTGGATGTATGGATGTATGGATGTATGGATGTGTGGATGTGTGGATGTATGGATGTGTGGATGTATGGATGTGTGGATGTGTGGATGTATGGATGTGTGGATGTATGGATGTATGGATGTATGGAAGTGTGGATGTGTGGATGTATGGATGTGTGGATGTATGGATGTGTGGATGTGTGGATGTATGGATGTGTGGATGTATGGATGTGTGGATGTATGGATGTATGGATGTATGCATGCATGGATGTGTGGATCTGTGGATGTATGGATGTGTGGATGTATGGATGTATGGATGTGTGGATGTGTGGATGTGTGGATGTATGGATGTATGGATGTATGGATGTATGGATGTATGGATGTATGGATGTGTGGATGTATGGATGTATGGATGTGTGGATGTATGGATGTGTGGATGTATGAATGTGTGGATGTAAGGATGTATGGATGTATGGATGTATGGATGTATGGATGTATGGATGTATGGATGTGTGGATGTGTGGATGTGTGGATGTGTGGATGTGTGGATGTATGGATGTATGGATGTATGGATGTGTGGATGTGTGGATGTATGGATGTGTGGATGTATGGATGTGTGGATGTGTGGATGTATGGATGTGTGGATGCATGGATGTGTGGATGTATGGATGTATGGATGTATGGATGTGTGGATGTGTGGATGTATGGATGTGTGGATGTATGGATGTGTGGATGTGTGGATGTATGGATGTGTGGATGTATGGATGTATGCATGCATGGATGTGTGGATGTGTGGATGTATGGATGTGTGGATGTATTGATGTATGGATGTGTGGATGTGTGGATGTGTGGATGTATGGATGTATGGATGTATGGATGTATGGATGTATGGATGTATGGATGTGTGGATGTATGGATGTATGGATGTATGGATGTGTGGATGTATGGATGTGTGGATGTATGAATGTGTGGATGTAAGGATGTATGGATGTATGGATGTATGGATGTATGGATGTATGGATGTATGGATGTGTGGATGTGTGGATGTGTGGATGTGTGGATGTGTGGATGTATAGATGTATGGATGTATGGATGTGTGGATGGCTGGATGTATGGATGTATGGATGTGTGGATGTGTGGATGTATGGATGTGTGGATGTATGGATGTGTGGATGTGTGGATGTATGGATGTGTGGATGTATGGATGTGTGGATGTATGGATGTATGGATGTATGGATGTGTGGATGTGTGGATGTATGGATGTGTGGATGTATGGATGTATGCATGCATGGATGTGTGGATGTGTGGATGTATGGATGTGTGGATGTATTGATGTATGGATGTGTGGATGTGTGGATGTGTGGATGTATGGATGTATGGATGTATGGATGTATGGATGTATGGATGTATGGATGTGTGGATGTATGGATGTATGGATGTATGGATGTGTGGACGTATGGATGTGTGGATGTATGAATGTGTGGATGTAAGGATGTATGGATGTATGGATGTATGGATGTATGGATGTATGGATGTGTGGATGTGTGGACGTGTGGATGTGTGGATGTATGGATGTGTGGATGTGTGGATGTATGGATGTGTGGATGTATGGATGTATGGATGTGTGGATGTGTGGATGTATGGATGTGTGGATGTATGGATGTGTGGATGTGTGGATGTGTGGATGTATGGATGTGTGGATGTATGGATGTATGGATGTGTGGATGTGTGGATGTGTGGATGTATGGATGTATGGATGTATGGATGTATGGATGTATGGATGTGTGGATGTGTGGATGTATGGATGTATGGATGTGTGGATGTGTGGATGTGTGGATGTATGGATGTGTGGATGTATGGATGTATGGATGTATGGATGTATGGATGTATGGATGTATGGATGTATGGATGTATGGATGTGTGGATGTGTGGATGTGTGGATGTGTGGATGTATGGATGTATGGATGTATGGATGTGTGGATGTGTGGATGTATGGATGTGTGGATGTATGGATGTGTGGATGTATGGATGTGTGGATGTATGGATGTATGGATGTATGGATGTGTGGATGTGTGGATGTGGATGTATGGATGTATGGATGTATGGATGTGTGGATGTGTGGATGTATGGATGTGTGGATGTATGGATGTGTGGATGTGTGGATGTATGGATGTGGATGTATGGATGTGTGGATGTATGGATGTATGGATGTATGGATGTGTGGATGTGTGGATGTATGGATGTGTGGATGTATGGATGTGTGGATGTGTGGATGTATGGATGTGTGGATGTATGGATGTGTGGATGTATGGATGTATGGATGTATGGAAGTGTGGATGTGTGGATGTATGGATGTATGGATGTGTGGATGTGTGGATGTGTGGATGTATGGATGTGTGGATGTATGGATGTGTGGATGTGTGGATGTATGGATGTGTGGATGTATGGATGTGTGGATGTATGGATGTATGCATGCATGGATGTGTGGATGTGTGGATGTATGGATGTGTGGATGTATGGATGTATGGATGTGTGAATGTGTGGATGTGTGGATGTATGGATGTATGGATGTATGGATGTATGGATGTATGGATGTGTGGATGTATGGATGTATGGATGTATGGATGTGTGGATGTATGGATGTGTGGATGTATGAATGTGTGGATGTAAGGATGTATGGATGTATGGATGTATGGATGTATGGATGTATGGATGTGTGGATGTATGGATGTGTGGATGTGTGGATGTATGGATGTGTGGATGTATGGATGTGTGGATGTATGGATGTATGGATGTATGGATGTGTGGATGTGTGGATGTATGGATGTGTGGATGTATGGATGTGTGGATGTGTGGATGTATGGATGTGTGGATGTATGGATGTATGCATGCATGGATGTGTGGATGTGTGGATGTATGGATGTGTGGATGTATGGATGTATGGATGTGTGGATGTGTGGATGTGTGGATGTATGGATGTATGGATGTATGGATGTATGGATGTATGGATGTGTGGATGTATGGATGTATGGATGTATGGATGTGTGGATGTATGGATGTGTGGATGTATGAATGTGTGGATGTAAGGATGTATGGATGTATGGATGTATGGATGTATGGATGTATGGATGTATGGATGTGTGGATGTATGGATGTATGGATGTATGGATGTATGGATGTATGGATGTGTGGATGTATGCATGTATGCACATGTGTTCGTGAGTGCATGCATGTTCACGAATGCACGTATGTTCACGCATGCAAACATACAGACGTTCTAAGACGCACACATACCTTGAATTGCCGTCTATGTTTCATACGCATAGATAAATATGCAGCAAGAATAGAAGCACCGCGCATGGCAGTGCAAGCAAGCAACATGACATACCTACATGGATGAATGGCGTTATGACAGCATGACAGGTCCCGCACATGCTCACCCGGACAGTGTTATCGTCATTGAGAATAACCCGAAAGTTGTTGTATATGTTGGTGCGACTGGCCTCTGTGCTCGTGATCTGGGGGGCGAGGGGGTACGGCGCAAGAGTCACGGGGCAGGGGGCAGGAGGCGAAGGGGGAGGGGGCAAACGGGTGGAGGTAAATGGGTGGAGATAAATGGGTCAAGGGACGAGTCGCAATGGGCAAACTTGGTGAAGGAATGTGAGGGGTGCGAAGGGGAAGAGAAGAGGTAGGCATTGTTGATGGAAGCTAAGAACCGGTGCGATGAAAGGGAATGCATGGAAATGCTTGCTTGCACAGAGAGAAACCGTCGCTCACTGTTGACACGCCTTAGACAACTTCTGAGATGTCTGAGACAACTCTCGAGAGGTCTGAGAAGTATTATCGGTGGGGACGAGGGAGGGGGAGGGGGAGGGGGAAGGGGAGGGGGAAGGGGAGGGGGAGGGGGAAGGGGAAGGGGAGGGGGATGGGGAAGGGGAAGGGGAGGGGGAGGGGAAGTACCAAGGAACCTCCACCGTCGGTGGCAGTGACCCACGTGGAGAGCTTGAGAGGCTGCAAGCGAAACTGTGGTCGTGGCATGCAACAGGAGGGAGAGACGTGTGGGCATTGTACAGAGAGGGAGAGAGGTAGAAGGTCAGAGCGGCAGAGGGGAAGAAAGGTACAAGTTGTCTTTTGTAATGGAATGCTCGCAATGGAATGCACACAGAAAGACAGCTGAGAGGAACGGAGGGAGGCAGAGAAACATAGGAAAGGTGGGAACAACAGAAAGAGTGTTCTTCGTGTACTAACTAAGCCTCCATCCATGTTCGAGCACACCCCACCACACCCCACCGCTCACCACACCCCACCTCCTTACCACACCCCACCCCCTTACCACACTCCACCCACTCATCAGCACTACCCTACACACCTAACCCTACACCCCCACACCAGCGCACCCCCACATGCCCACGGTCCATATGCAAATCCACTCACCGCAGTGCCATCTTTCCACGGCTTGGGATTTGGGTACCATCCAGGCACCATCCAGTTCTCTATGACAAGCCACGAACCAAGATTCACGCCGCGAATCACGGGCACCACCGTCACCTCGCGTATCTCAAACTCCTCCCACGAGCTCGCCACGCTCGTCCACCGGTACAGCGCATTCCCCTCGTTGCTTATCACCATCCCGTCTGCGGCCGACCGGAAGGCCACGCGGAAGGTGCCGGTGCCGCGCGGTTCGATAGAAAAGATGGTGGCAGGGTCGGCGCGGGAATGCGTGGTGTCCATGACGCCATAGGTGGTGGACCAGGGGGCTTGGGGGGGGCCTGCGCGGACGAATTCCCCTGAGAGAGTCACCAGGCGCAGCTGGGAAGGGCGTAGAGGAGGGGGTTCAGGGGATTGGAGGCAAGAAGGAAGGGCAAGAGAATGGAATTGAAGAAGGTGGGTTGCTTTCGCTGGCTTCAACAATCGGGAACAGGACTTTAAAGCTGCTGCACGGCTCGATAGAGAAGATGGTGGAGGGGTCGGCGCGGGATGGGGTGGTGTCCATGACTCCGTATGTGGTGGACCAGGGGGCTTTGGGGGGGGCCTGCGCGGACGAACGCGCCTGAGAGAGTCACCAGGCGCATCTGGGAGGCCAGATGGGAAGCCAGATGGGAAGCCAGATGGGGGGACGGCAAAGAAAGAGTGGTGAGGCGGAGACTGGTGTCTGAGGAAGGAGGGATGGATGGGAGGTGAGAAGGAAGATAGTAGAATGGTCGGAGCAGGAGGGAGTGGTTTCCATGACGCCGTATGTGGTGGACCAGGGGGCTTGGGGGGAAGGGGCTGCGCGGACGAACGTGGCCTGAGGGAGTCACCAGTCGGAGCTGGCGGAAGGAGGGATGGGAGGGGAGAGGGAGCGGGAGGGTGTGGTGTCCATGACTCCCGTACGTGGTTGACCAGGGGCCTTGTTGCTGACCTGGTTGGGCGCAAGGCCAGGCGCGCGCTCCACGCGGAAGAAGTCAGAGGCGGGGGGGGCGGGTCTTGTTGCCCGCGCCTGGGAAATCAAAGAAGTCGCTGTTGAGAATTCTCAGGAGTGATACGATACAGACTACAAGCGTAGCTCTTGTTGCTCACCTGATTAGGCGCGAGACCAGGAGCGCGCTCCACGCGGAAGAAGTCAGAGGCGGAGGGGCGGGTCTTGTTGCCGGCGAGAATGAACCCAGACCAGCTGCCGTTGCTGTCCGGGCCCCACCACGTGCCCCACGTGGGCGAGCGAATCTGCACCTGCGGGGCGCACGGACGAGGAAAAGTGAGTGGGAGTGGGAGAGAGAAGTAGGGGGGAAAGGGGGGAGCAAGTGATGAGACGGCTCTAGACACCACGTGCCCCACGTGGGCGGGCGAATCTGGTCTGGACGAGCGGAGCATGCGGACGAGACGAGGGAGAGGAAATGGAGGGGGAAGACGGAAGGGCGCTTTGAGACGGCTCAAGACACCACGTGCTTCACGTGGGAGAGCGTATATGGACCTGTGGGGCGCTCGATTGGGAACGAGAAAAGGGAGGCGGAAAGGTAGCATTGGTTGGAACACGACACCTCAAGATACCTTGTGAGAATTCTCAAAACTGCCCCCTGTTGAAACGCCTACCAACTCATTCCCTATCCTCCTCTCCCTGCTCTCTTTCCACACCCTCGCTCACTCCCTTCTCCTCCCCCCTTCCCCCTTCCCTCTCCGCCTACCCGTGCGCCATGGGGCATGGCGGAGGACAGCCATTCGCTCTTCATCACCGCCTCCCCCCCCGCCGGTTGCGCCGCGCTGCTGCAGCACACCGTCGCGCAGGGCGTGTCCAGCGCGGACTGGGAAACGGGGGGAGGCGGAAACGGCGGAGGCGGCGACGGCGGGCGCGGCGGCTTCGGCGGAGGCGGAGAGGGCGGGCGCGGGGGCGGGCGCGGGGGCGGGCGCGGGGGCGGCCTCGGGGGCGGCCTCGGGGGCGGCCTTGGCGGTGGGCGCGGGGGAGGGCGCGGAGGCGGGCGCGGGGGGGGGCTGGGCGGTGGGCGGGGAGGGGGTGAGCGGGGGAGCTTGGGCCTCCTTTTGGTTGCGAGGGTCCGCGACGTAGCGCGTCGAAGGAACCGCGCGACGGATGCGAAGGGCGCTGCGAGTACTGTGAATGCAGTCGAGGTTGTAGCTGAACCTGCTTCCGTCCCGCGCGCCGCGGGCGCCAGCTGCTGCTGCTGCTTTTGCTGCTTTTGAGGCACCTCAAAAATAGACTGCTGCTGCTGCTGCTGCGGCGGCGGCGGCTGTTGCTGCCGACCCTCCTTTGGCCAGTCGTTACCCTGCTGCTGCTGTTGCTGCTGTTGCTGTTGCTGCTGCTGCTGCTCGCGCTCGCGATCATGTGATTCGTCGCATTCCGGGTGCGGCTCGGAGCCGTGACGGCATTGGACGGACGGAACTGTGCTGCCGGTGACCCGCAGACCCGCCGGAAGGAGCGCGTCGACGACTAACAGGCGGCTGCTGCGGAGCGACGCGGCGGGATTGACGCTCGTGTCAGCACCGTGAGACGCGGCGGAATTGACGCCGTTTTCCACGGTCTCCTGGGGGGAAATCGAAGAGGAGTGCACGAGAGGAGCGTGCGGCAGTAGTAGCGCCGCGGAAAGCGGAAGGAGGAGGAGGGGGAGGAGATGGAACTGGTAGTGACGATCGCGGCCGCTGTGGTGGCTGTGGTCCAATTCTCTACCGCGAGAATCCCGCCGTGATTCGCGGCATTGGCGTCGGTGCTCTCGTGGCTTCATCGTGGCGGGGAGCTACCACGTCTGACGTACCTCGCAACGTCCGACTCGCACTAAACGTAAAACCATCCGCTTGATCAATACGAGTTGCGTGGAACGAAGCCTAACTAGGCAGCTGTAGCTCCCAGGTTGCCAACATAAGCACAGCAGGGAAAGATTCGTTCGTGGCAAAGCACAGAACTGTGCATTGTTAGGTTGTTGAATTGGAGGGGAGGGCAGGCAATGATCATCTCTTCCTCTGAGTGTTTGCCCTGCCCAGTCTCGCGCTCGCCACCATGCATGATTGATTTCCTTGGCTTTGGTCTGGCGGTGGTGGTGGTGGTGGTCTGGCGGGCGAAGCGTTTACGCGGTGGTGGTGGTTGGGGCGTGGTGGCGTGGCGTGGCGTGGTAGTGGTGGTGGTTGGTTGGGGCGAAATGAACAGTGTATAACGAAGAAGAAGGGAGGTGGAACTGTGGAGCTCACTGACGGCGCAGATGCAGCTGGAGGCCAGCTGAATATATCTGGCTGCCCGTCAGGTCGTGTTTCTGCGACTGAAAATTCCACTGGGTATGGATAGTCGATTTTGAGGGGGCCAGAAGTCCTGAATAGCTAAGTATGATCTTAGTTTACGTAAGGGAGACTGTTAGGTGAATAACCAGACTCTACGCGCCACACATGACGATGGAAAATTCAACCTCTTTCAGCTGGATTGACCGACACACAAACACAAAGCGACAAGAGCAACGTGGAATTTGTTGTCGTCGCGAGGTGGACAGTCGGATTTATACCTCGCTATGGGCGCTGTAGTTTTGTCCTAAAACACTGTCAGTACAGTACGATAATATAATTTTCCTTTCTGTTTAGGATACGTTTGTGTGACATTTGTTGGAGAACTACTAGTGGCACAACGAACATCAATAACAATATACGGATATGGTCCATAATATGAATACCGCTACCAACTCTAAAGCTCGAATTCCTGACAGCAGACCAATGTACACCAAGTGCATCATTTTACAGACGTCAGGTGTTGCTTCACACGGTCTCACCCGCCCCCTCATTTCTTCACCTTCTGCGGCATACGTTGAATCACCAGCCTTCCACTGTTCGCCTTATCCCCAACAATCGTTTGGCACGACAATCGCCAGCTCTCGGGGCGTTTCTTCAAGAAACGATCCTCCGCCTCGGTCCGTCCGCTCAACAGCTCCGCACCCGCAACGACATCCACAAGGCAGGTCCCGCAATTTCCCGCACCACCGCAATTCATGAGTGAACCGTACATGTCGTACAGGGGAACCTTCGCGTCGACCATCGCACGTCGCAAATTCTTCTCGCCGCTGCCAATGGTGACAATCTGGGCGTTAGCTGGAGGATTCGCGGATGAATCCGCCGCGTCGGGGGTCTCAGCTGCAATGGCAGCCCATGCGGCCGCTTCGGTGGCTGACGTGGCAGTGTCACCATCCGGGGGAAGGAAGCACATGGAAATGGTAGGAGGAGACGAGTTTCTGATTGTCGTGGAGTCGACTGTGGTCCCTGCCTCTGAAGAGCTTTCAGCACGGGCCACTGATGTCACGAGGCGACGGTGAGATGTGAAAGCTAGATTGGTGGACGATACTCGGAAAGTCGGTGTGTTTCTGGTGAGGGGGAGGGAGGAGGAGAGCTTGCTGGAATACAAACTGGAGAGAAGGCCGATGGAGGATGTGGCAGCCATGGTGATCAAGTTTTGGGAGTGCTCCGCCTCCTAAACTTGGCGTACAAGGTAGACTGTCGGGCTGTCGATATAAGTACGAATGAAGTAGTGAAGTATTCAATCTCCAAACGAAGTTGACGGAAGTGCGTGTTTAGGACTTGGTTGTCCAATAAAATCGCTAGGCCACGGAGTGACAGACTTTCTGGAAAATGGGTAGCGTTAGTGGCTAGAAGATGCGCCGACGTGTTCGGTCAAAATGCAGCCTTCCAGGTCTACGTGGAGGCTGGTGAGAATGTTCGATGTTGTTCGATATAAGCGTCTGTGTAACAATGAACTAGGATGTTGGTGCACCCAACCTTCTTCACCAGTGTAAGGAAATTCCCTTTTCCTTACTTTGCGTCCCTGCTCAACGCGTACATCACTGTAGCACCTCAGTACGCACCGTTACCACTCACGACCATCGCATCATTCATCATCCCGCCATTTTCGCACATCGCATCCCGACCTCACGGCTCGGCTGGTAACCCGCGCTCCGGGCCTACGCTTCGACACTTTCCCAACCTCAGTCCCAGGCTCGTCGCGCGACCATTACCGTTACCACTGTAGTTTCGCTATATATCGTTCGCTCATGCCTTCGCTCATTGTACCCTTGCTTCGATAGTGCAATTCTCATTCGTTCACTCAATTGCACTCGTAACACTTGATATTCAGAGCCTACGATCTCATCTCGGACCGCATCCACACCTTCGCTTCCCACTATCTCAATTTTTTGGGGGGGGTAGACGTCTCCCAGCGACACAGCACCGCCGCTCGTAGTGCTCTCTCGAAAGCACGCACGGCCACGACCGAGGCTCTCGCTGAGCTTGCCCGACACCCCCGCCATGGCCGATTTCACGCTCGCCACGATGACGCAGGAGCAACTCGATCGTCTCGTGCGTCAATTGGAGGACTCGGCGCTCGAAATCGCGACTCTCACGGCGGAACGCGACTCGGCCGGTCAACAATCAACGGTGAACGTACCGACGACATCACACGCACCAACCAATGCATCTGCACATTCGGAGGAGCCAATTGTCATCTCGTCCGGCACACCAACACAACACGAGAGCACGGGACAACGCTCAGGCGCAGCCAGTGAAGGCGCCGCCCAGCCGATGCCCGGCATGGGAGGGAACAGGAGCGCACCAAGCCCACGGGAGCCCCGAGAAGCCCGTCGGCACGTGGAGTTTGCGGTGACAAGTGGCGAAAACGCCATAATGGCCCCAATGCCACTCAAGCCGCAACGCCCGCCCTGCTTCGACCCAAGCCAACGCGGCGGTCCGACAGTTCAATCGTGGGTCTTCACGATGAATGTGTTTTTCGACGCCAACTACGTCGAGTCGGACGCCGCCAAGATCCGGTATGCGGTTTCACTACTCAGGGGCCCCGCCATGGACTGGTGGCGAGTCATCGTGACATCGCCACGCGCCTACGAGCCACCGTTGCACGAGGAAGGGCCCTCGGGTCCAGCTGTTACCTGGAGTTCGTTCTGCGAAACCGCCCAATACAGCACGTGGGATGCGTGGTGCGCAGGGCTTCGGGCGCGCTTTGAGCCGATCGCGGCTTCGATTTCGGCGCGTCAGAAACTGCGCACTTGGCGCCAGCTCGGGTCAGTTCAAGACTATACCAGCGGCTTTCTCGCACTTTGCGAACAGGTCGGCTACATGCACGAGGCGGAGCGGGTGGACCGTTACGTCGGAGGGCTGAAGCCGGACATCTCGCACGAGATAATGCTACGCGGGCTCTCGAACTTCAACGAGATTCTCGCGCTCGCCGAAAAAATTGACATCCTACGCCGACCGAGACCGGGGTCCTATTACGGACATCGTCGTCGGGGACCGATCGAGCACGCCACTGTACATGCCGTCGCAACGAATGCAGCTGCCACACCGTTTAGAGGGCGCTGCTTTGCTTGCAACCGGCCGGGCCATCGCAAGAGCGAATGCCCAGAGGAGCTGAGGCGTCGAGGAGCAGAGCAGGGGAGGGAGTCTCAGAGGCAGGGAAACGCCAGCAGTTAGTAGAAGTTGGGCCAACTACTAACGAGACTGCCTGCTCGCCCAACCACACCGACCCTCACCGAGTCACAGTACCGATTCACGCCATCGATCGGGCTCGGATGAATAAGGAGGGTACAGCGACGGATTGCCCGATACTGATCTACGGGAAAATACAGGGAGCAGCAGTGAAGATCTTTATTGATGGAGGAGCAAGTCACAGCTTAGTTAATACCGCAACCGCACGAAAATTACAGTTAACACTTAACCGATGCTTACCTAAGATAGATGCACGCTTAGTCGACGGCACGCCCCTAGCCATACGGGAAAAGGTGGAGCGAGTAAAAGTCCGCTGCGGGGGAAACTTCGGGTTTACACAGGAAATGCTCGCAACGACACTGGATGGGCACGACATTTTATTGGGACGTGATTGGCTACGACGGTACAACCCACGGATTGACTAGACGACGGGGAGCTGCACAGTGCGAAGTAGTGGTAACTGGGTCGTTCTACCTCGCTAGCAGCCACCCGGCAGCCATCCAGGTCAACGCCATCACGATGAAACGGGCTGTCGCTGCTGGAGCTGACGTGTACGCAGTGGATATTGCGCTAGTAGAAAAAGAGGAGCAGCCGAGTGATTTAGAGAAACTATTGGCAGCCGTACCGACCGAACTACAGGCACTACTGAAACGGTTCCCGGGGATATTTCCGGATGATTTACCTCAGGGACTGCCACCTCAGCGGGCGCACGACCATAGGATCGAGTTAGAACCGGGGGCACAGCCAACTGTACAGCGACAATTTCGACTGACACAGCCCGAGCTCGACGAGTTAAGGAAGCAGTTAGATTACCTGTTAGAGAAGCAATTTATACGACCGAGCTCGTCACCATTCGCCGCACCGATACTGTTCACACCGAAAAAAGACGGAGGGTTCCGCATGTGCATCGACTACCGAGCGCTTAATAGGGTAACAGTCAAATCGCGATACCCCATTCCCCGCGCCGACGAACTGATCGACCAATTGCGAACAGCACGAATCTTTTCGAAAATAGATTTACGGGGAGGTTACCATCAGATTCGGGTCGAACCATCGGACTGCGCCAAGACAGCATTTAGGACTAGGTACGGGTCATTCGAGTACACAGTGATGCCTTTCGGGCTGACCAACGCGCCTGCAACATTTCAGATGACTATGAACGAGGCGTTTAGGCCGCTTTTAGATAAATGCGTGATAGTTTACCTCGACGATATCCTCGTTTACAGTCGGGACAAGCAGCAGCACTTAGAAGATCTCGAAGCAGTTTTTCGGGTTTTAGAAAAACATCGGTTACTCACCAAGGGCTCCAAGTGCGAGTTTTTTCGGGACAGGCTAGACTTTTTAGGTCACGTTATTTCGGAGGCTGGAGTTGAGATTGACGCGAAGAAGCTGGATACGGTAAAAGCATGGCGCCCCCCGACGAACATCACGGAACTGTGAAAATGAGTAAGCAGGAATGAGTGAACTATGAATGAAAGCAGTACAAATGTGAAACCCTAACTGGGTTGTACCCCTTATGGGATACCCCACTACAGCCTACACAACAGTATAAGCTATAGATATGTTCTGACACACCCCCATAGGCAAAGTGGGGGAGAACAAGGGGTCACAAGACCGGTCAAGCAAGACAAAGCAAAGCTCAGGGTGGATCACAAAGTCACCACACAGTCCGAGCACAAGAGCAAGGCCAAAGGCCAGTTCACAAGCAAGAGTACAGACATATATATATAAAACTAGACAAGCAAGAGCAGGTATATATATATGTCACAGTACAAGTAAAGTCAAGAGGAGAGCAAGTGAGGCAAGACAGGCACAAGACCCAGCTGGGTGCAGAAGCGCTGATGGTCACAAGGCGCAAGTGCCTTGGTGAACACATCAGCAGTGTTGGCCTCAGAGGCCACGTACGCAAGTCGCAACTGACCACGCTGCTGCAACTCACGAGCAAGGAAGTAGCGGAGAGTTATGTGCTTCGTTCTGTGCTCCAAGCGCTGCTCTCGACACAAGGCCAGCATAGCCTTGTTGTCTACGTACAGCACTGGAGGAGAACGAGGCGGCTCTCCAAGGTCAGTCAGCAGGTAGGTGAGCCAGCGAAGCTCCTGTGCAGCCATGGCTCCGGCGTAGATCTCAGCCTCACAACTGGAGCCGAGAACCGAAGACGAGCGAGTAGACCGCCACGAGACAGAGCCGGAACCAAGGCTGAAGGTGTAACCCTGTGACGACCGCTGCGTAGCCTGGTCGTCAGCCCAAGAAGCGTCCGCGTGGCCGGTAAGGACCACTGGACTCCGCCCTCCAAGCACTAGCCCCATGCCTGACGTACTGCACAGGTAGCGCAATACTCTCTTCGCTGCCGCCATGTGCTCCGGTCTGTGTCTCCCAGGAGCAACATAGCGTGCAAGAATGCTCAGAGGGTATGCAAGGTCAGGTCGTGTGCAGGTCATCAGGTACATGAGGCAGCCAACAAGCTCTGCATACGGACCACTCGACTCTACGGACTCATCCGAAGGCAGAGCTGAGAGTGAGTGGCGAGTAGGCAGAGGAGTGGCCTGAGGCGAGGAGTACGTGAAGCCGAAGCGCTGAAGGACCTGCTGCACCATGTGTGACTGAGTCAAGGTAATGGTGCGGCGTGCTCTGTCCCGAGTGATCTGCAAGCCAAGGTAGCTGCGCAGTTCACCCAGGTCTGTGCACGTGTGTCTCTTCAGCAGCTCGGACTTCACGTAGGCGAGTCCAGCAGTGTCCGCTGTGGCAAAGACCAAGTCGTCGACGTACACGAGGATGTAGAACGGCGGCAGGGAAGTGTCGGTGCGAAGAAACAGCGACGGGTCAGCAGTAGAAGGAGCAAACCCAAGAGCCGCAAGCGTAGTCCTCAGTGTGTCGTGCCACTCACGCGGTGCCTGGCGGAGACCGTAGACTGGCCGTCTGAGGCTCCACTGGGTGCCAGGAGGGAAAGTC